CAAAAAAAAAAAACCCCAAACAAATAAAGTTTGGGGCATGAATTTACGTTAGAGTACACATGCATTTTCTACTGATGTATTTAAAATGCCTAATTATTTCCTTTTTCTTATCTTCCTTTATTAATTCTAGTGAGAAGCTGAAGTACTGGTGTGCACTCCAGAAGTTACTGTATCTGATGTTTCAAATAAATCCCATTCCACTCATTAACACAGGTGGAGCTTCTGATGAATACAGAGTTGATTAGTATATAATTTATGGCATTCATCAGCATATGATTTTTATTTTTTTTAACAAAAAAGTGTGTGAATTTAGATTGCATATAAGCATGGAAGGTTGTCTGTGTCTGTTATGTATCTCCATTTCACATGCATAATTGCCCCATAATTTCTATTCTGTCCATAGAAGGGAAAGAATACTTCAAGTTATTTTTTTTAATTGACTAGAATTACAATACTGAATGTTTTGCTAATGCTTTCGAAGTTGCTATTAACACATGTGAGATAAACACAAATATATGCACTATTACATTGTATAGTTTTTTTCCCCACTGAATAAGAGTATTAAAAATATTGACTGAATCAGACAATGATACTATTATGAAATCATCACAATTTTAAATCTAAACTGGTCTCTATTTTTTTTAAGAAAGAAACCCAAATGTTTACTCATTGGAGTCTCGGCATTAAAAATCAAGATTACATTTCTTAGGTTCAAGAAATAAACCACTGGATAGAGAGAGCTCTATTAAGTTCTAGTACAAACAAAAATCTCTGAACTAAGATTGCCCACCAAAAAATCTAATATTTATTTAAATAATAGGCATATTGATTTGTTAAAAGAAATTTAAGAGAAACTTTTTAACCTGTTCCATATCAGCCATGGTGGTTAAAGTGCAGTACTGCAGGCTACTTCTGATGACTGCCAGCTGCCTGCAATTTGGCAGTTCAAATCTCACCAGGCTTAAGGTTGACTCAGCCTTCCTTCCTTCTGAGGTGGGTAAAATGAGGACCCCGATTGTTGGGGGCAATATATTGACTCTGTAAACTGCTTAGAGAGAGCTGTAACGCACCCTGAAGTCCAAGCGCTATTACTATAACAGAGCTAATTTATGGGATATTGAGGAGCAGCTTACTTGGTAAAAGTCCTCAAGAAGAGGTTGGTAAATCAACTCTTATAGGGATTATGAATCTCCTGAGATGAGAATTGGTCAATATCCCTTCAAGCCTTATAAAAAAGTAATTTGTATCGTTGGGCATTGAAATATTCAGGGATTCTTCTTAACTTAAATTTAAAAAGTAAGAATATGTAGTAAGTCTGAAGCCTATCATTCTACAATTACTAAAATTCTTTACTAATCTGTAGTTTTTTGTTGTCCCTACATCAAAATTAAGTCACTAAGCTAACAGATGTCAGTAGAAGAAGAATGTCAAAACTGCAAGAGCATAGTCTTTTTGAATATGGTGAATGAGCACCTCATAACCTGTGTGAACCTGTAGCCAAACCTTTCCTACCTGGCTACTTTGATCTTCCTTACAGCCCCTTCCCATTCTCTTTGGTAGCATCTCCAGCATCGTTTGGCTGGGACTATGTTTGTACATATGGAGGTCACATCTAAATTTGTCTTCATTAACCTATGATGCTACTTTCTTTCATACATTCATAGCATTCAGTATTTTTTCAAAGCATCTATTTTTCAAAGCATTAATTTTTACATATGCGATGTGGCCCGGCAGGAGCCGTTGGAGCTGCCACCAGACTCCGACAGCGAGGGGCCTTATGAGTCGGCACTGGAGGATGTGGAGGACCCTGGACAGGNAAAAAGAGATTGGACAGCCAATTGTCTGGAATGGTAGAGGCTTTCCTGCCTGAACAGGGGGTTGGACTAGAAGGCCTCCAAGGTCCCTTCCAACTCTGCCATTCTGTATTCTGATTAAATGACCGGATGCTAATATGAAGAACGGTTGCAGAAACTAGGAAGGTCTAGTTTAATGAAAAGAAGACCAGCGGTGACATGATAGGAGTCTTCCAGTATTTGAGGGGCTGCCCCAAAGAAAAGGGGGTCAATGTATTCTCCAAGGCACCTGAGGGCAGAACAAGAAGCAATGGGTGGAAACTAATCAAGGAGGGAAGCAACTTAGAACTGAGGAGAAACTTCCTGACAGTGAGAACAATTAATCAGTGGTTCCCTCCAGAAGTTGTGAATGCTCCAACACTGGAGGTTTTGAAAAAGAGGTTGGATAGCCATTTGTCTGGAATGGCCTAGGGTCTCCTGCTTGAGGAGAGGGTTGGGCTAGAAGACCTCCAAGGCCCCTTCCAGCTCTCTTACTCTGCATTCTCCCTGGATGTTCATTGGTAGCCAAGGAGCCATTCTGGGTCGGTCACCGGACCAGAGGAAGCTGAGATGGCAAGCGATGAAGCATTTACCTTCCCTTAGCCTAGTTTACCTCCCCAAGCTGAGCGGAGAGCCGCATTTCTGCTTGATCTCAAACCTGCCAAGAAATTTATTCTCTTCCCTCCCTTAGGGCTACCGTTTGAAACACCGAGGATAAATGGTGAGCGAACGATTGCTATTCAGGAAGGGGGGGGGAAAAACCTCACCTTGCATGTCTCACCATTGGCATATCAATTTACAGGACACGCTTAAGAGTTTTTGACATATAGCATCACGCTTCCCCCAGGATATGCTTCTCCCTGGAGTCTTGAACCCACCATTTCTATCTTTAAATCACTCTCCGAAGTGAGAGAGAGGAGGGAAAAAACCCTCTTTTTCTCTTTGTTGCTAAAATTCACTTCTATCGCTGCGTACAACAGGCAAGGAAGAGGATCAAAAGATGAGGAAGCGAATTCAGCTGAGCAGCCGCTTCGCCCAGCCCATCCCTGACGCCTTTCGATATCAAAGTTTGTGAGAGAGGGGCTTCTGAACCAGACAAGGGGAAGAACAAGCGGGGTTGCTGATGACTGGGTGGGCTGATGTGGCTTCAACCATCTCTCCTCTTTTGATTCACTTCCATTTCATTCCTTTTTTTCTCGTTTGGCGGCGATTTGAGAGCAGATAATTCCGAATTAAGGGACTTAATCGCAAAGGTGCTTTTTTCAGGAGGCAACTGTGGATTTTCTTGCTTTTCCTTTCGAAGACGTTTCGCTTCTCATCCCAGAAGCTTCTTCGGCTCTGACTGGATGGTGGGGAAGGGAAGGATTTAGATTATAAATATACCAGCAGACAGCTGGTCATTTGCAGCCTTTTAGAGAGTCCTTGAGGCCACCTGGAGGTTTGTCTCTCTAGCCTTCTGCACACCCATTTGCATGAAAACATCTGCAGAAAACATTCTGCAGCCAAGAAGGCTCCACAAACATTTGCACCACTCAGGAGACTCTGAGGACACAGATGAAACCTCCAAGAGGCCTCGGCGTCCCTCTCAAAGGATGCAAATGACCAGCGATACGCAAGGAACATAAATCATTTTTGGCTTCCAGAGGCCTTCCGGGTGCAAAATGGGGGTGCCCTGCCCTCCTAAGGCCCTGCCAATTTGCAGAATGCCTGTAACTATTCGATAGTTATTGTTCTCGTTCGGGTCAAAAGAAGTGGAGTTCTCGCTGATGCTGCCAATTTCTGAGAGTTAAACTGTTCTCTGAGAAGGTGGTGGATTGAGATTGAGATTGAGAT